CGTACTAGAACAATTAAATCAGGATTTAATTGTTCTGGATGTAGGGGATTGCCAAGATGCCGGACCCGGGCAATTAACTCAGGAGCTAATTTTCTTTAACTCTTGGATCAACTGCCTTCCACTCTCTCTTTGCGCGGTGTTTTTTGTGCCATCAGCTCACTAGTTCAGAACGGCCTCTCATTTTTTATCTTGTGCAGGACATCACAACAGGTGTTTTTGGTTTCCTTCCTCAGGCGGGCAGCACATGTGACTCACACACAGCAGCACCGAGCCGGTCAGCCTTACGCTGCGCCTGCAGCTGGTGAGAGGCACATTTGGGCAGCATCGGAGCCGATCTGTTGCCTGGCGATGTTGTAAACGGAGCCAAGCCAGCAGCACAGACGACGACACTGGGTGCTGCTGTTTGCCAGTTTAAGAATTTTACGCCGAGGTGCATCTATTTGGACAACACAATCATCCAAAGCTGGAACCCTATTGTGTATTTTGGTGCAGGTCTCCACAGTGGGCAGCCTTAGATGCTTGCAGTAGTTTTTTCTCATTCTCCGATGTGTCTGGATGTGTCTCTACCTTTTGGGCCTTTCGGATTTGACACATCACTAAGAGTAGTCCCTAAGATGGCGCAACAGGAATTGAATAGTGGACAGGTGGACCCCACTCTAAGCTCCCCCACTCTTGAAGAGCTTTTTTAGTGCACGGGGAGCTGAATCACAGCAGTTTGACATCAGCGGGCAATGGCTGTCAGCGCTTGCATAAGAATCATCCTACATAGGTTTGGCATGGAGTAATGTCAGTTCTTTGGCAGGAAGCTGTACCGACAGCTCTGCAGCGTTGCCATTGGTGTGGGTGATCACATGCTCAGCCTGTCCTTGCTGGCATCCTGTAGGAAGAGTACCACAGCAAGCCTGTCAAGCGCCGTTCAACATGAGCTTTTGCAACCAATCTTCTCCTAACCGGACAGATGAAGCAAGCCTTAGACTCGGAAAAACAAATCCGCAACCTGTCTCCATAGCTAGTCCTGCCTTCCGAAGATACAGTTTAATTGACCTCCGCCTGCAGTTGTGAGCTTGAAGAGTGCTCAAACAATGAAAAAGATGCTAGCGCTCAGCAGTTGGTACAGGCTTCTATGGCCCTCCTGTCAACGGAAGGAGCTCATGAGATACCCCTAGATGAGCTGCAGACACTTCAATTGAGACCAGACAAAGGCCCAGACCCGACAGTCCTCCGACTGCAGACTGGAGTTGTCTTTGAGTGGGACGAGGTCTTCACCAACTGACGGACCAGCACATCTACCAATTCCAACATGACTTGTGTGCAGGCCACAGGCGAGGGCTACATCATTCCATCGGAGGAGCAGGCTATGGGAGCATGATGGCTAGGTATGGTTGTGTGCGTGTGCGCGTGTGGAAAGAAGCGGCATTGTGACGGCCGTATGTAGTCTAAAACTCACAACCTTTCCATGGCCTGGAAATGGCAGCAGGGTGCACGAAATCAGGCAGGTCATGACAAAGAAGCAGCAACTTTAACAGAACGGCAGCAGAAACACGAGCATTTGTGGTGCTGCGTACTACTTGAAGATGCTACCGGCGAGGGAAATCCCTTGCGCTGTGCCCCGCGTACCTGAAATTAGCGAAATTAGCTGAGGAATCATTGATTTTTGACGATTTTGTTTTGTTTTTTGTGTTAAGGTCCTGCCTTTTGCTTTCTGCTTCTGGCTCCTTTCTCTGGTTCTGCTTGCTGCTTTCCGCTTTTTGCTTCGGAGGCAGTGCTGCTTTTAACTTCCTCTCGTTTGTTTCTTCCTGTCGGCCATATTGCTGTTTCTTTCTTCCTTATATCGTCACGTTTGGCTTCTGGGGGCTCTATGGTCATGAGTACTTGAACTTGAACTTCTCGTATCCAGAATGACATCTGAGATGCTACACACACTAAAACAAAGCTGCCACTAGCCGGGGGCTGGTGTGGTTGATGGGGGTGGATGCACCGCGAGCCCCCAACACAGGGTAGGCTTTGCGTCCTACTTCTGCTTGCCGCGCATGCTGAGTTGAAGCGGCAGTTTTCCTTTTCAGAACAAAGTTGCGATGCAACGTGCAATGCATTCCCAGCAAAACCGCCACGACCGGAAAGCCATCAATGTTTAAGGCCAAAAAAGGGGTCATCGCCGTGTAGGGCAAGGTTGTGCGGATCATTTTGTTTGCAAAGGCGGGGGGGCTGTGCCCCCCGCCAACCCCCCGGCTTCTTTAGAAAACATCCACCCTTACGGTAAAAAAACATGTCATCACCATGTTGGCAGTAGGGGGGTGTTTTGCGGATCATTTTGTGTGCAAGTGGGGGGGCTGCCCCTCCACCAACCCCTCGCTGTTCTTAAAGCCATACATGCTTGCAATAAACCACAAGCATCATGCCATCACCATGTTTGCAGTAAGGGATGATTGTTCAGATCATTTTGTTTGCAAATGGGAGGGGCTGCGCCCCTCCAACCCCCCCCCTCGTTTTGTTGAAGCATCCATGCCTACGATTAAAAAACCATGTCAGCACCATGTTTGCAATAGGGCAAGGTTGTGCGGGTCCTTGTTGGGGCAAATGGGGGGGCTGCGCGCCCCCAACCCCCCCCCCCGGTGGTTGAAGCCATCATTGCTTACGGTACATATATATATATATATACAATGTCATCGCTATGTGTGCCGTTGTAGGGGGGGTAACGGAGGATTATGCGGATCATATTGTGTGAGAAGGGGACGCTGCGCCATCTAAGCGCGCAAATGGAAATCTCAGCTGCAACTCGCAGTGTCTACGTTCTTTGCAAAGCTCCGAATGTTGTAACTTATATCTTACATCGGCAAGCGTGCTGTGATTTACGGCATCTGCAAGTTCTGAAGAAGTCCAAATGCTGTCATTTACAGTATTCGCAAGCTCTAAAAAGCTTCAAATGTTGAGGTTCTGTCTGCAAACAGTTCTGTCTGCAAACTCTAGATGAGCGTCAAATGCTATAGTTTACAGAGTTTTGCAAGTTCTAGATGAGCTCCCAAGTCTGTAATTTAAAATCCGCAGCCTCTGCGCCAGACAGGATGTTGCAAAATGCATTACCCGTGCTGAAACAATCCAAGAGGATCAGAGGGTGCAAACTCGACGACAGTTACAAGGATGGCGAGCCCGACCCCCATAATCCTGGTGACTTTCGACACTTTTCAACCACTGCGAGGAGAAGGTCCTTTTGCGACGCGAGTGCGATCCCCGCAAGTCCTGTGATTGTTGACACTTGTCGGACTCCATGAGGATCCAAAGGTCCAAAAGCGACGACAGTTATGAGGATGGCGACCCGACCCCCACAATCCTTGACTGTTGACACTTTTCAAAATCCAACCTCACATTTGTAGTTAAAATCGAGCTCTGGCGTGGAGCATCCTCACGTTTGCCCTCCGAAAGGATAGAAACAAGAAACATACTGCAAAAAGACGCAAAACACAATACTCAAATGATTCCGGACCCATCAGCTGGCTGTCAAGCTGCCTCTGGCAGAAAGTGTTACTTGTAGCCGATTTTTTCAGCACCGCGAGAAACATTGCAGAAGACCTGTCTTACAGGAAGAGCAGTCGCTATGCCGGTATGCTGCCATGGGCTGCCTGCAAGAAATCATTGGAAGATTATGTCCAATGCCAATAGCCTTGTAGCAGTGCCAGCTGATTGGGGTGCCTTGCTGCAAGCCACTGTGTGGCTTAGGGTAGCAAGGCTTAGACTGAGCTGAAGGATGCCTTCAACATGATCCGGGTGCTTCGTCGCGACATCAGGTGGCACGACAGTCGACGCTCCTTGGCAGTATACGAGACTTGTGGGACAGCAGGGTCGCCAACTGTTCAGCCCTGCTTGCGTTTCTTTCGGCAAAGAGCGAGACGAGATCAGGTTTGTTCCCCGGCCAGTTTGTGCAGTTCGAGACTGCGCTGCCTCATGAGGCCGGCAGCTCATCCTGCGCCAGCAAGCTGTGCGAGGATCATGTTGTGTGAGGTACCTGTGAAATCAGAGGAAGACCCGCAAGCACCTTTGGCGCTGCGTGTGCGGGGCCTCGAGGTCCAATCCTTGCGCCCAAGAGCTTGCGAGCCAGTTTGGGTCAGAGTCTTTCAGATGCTTAAGATGGTTTTTAGTGGGAATCGAAAGTCTACAGCCGCATCTGATTCTCATGCGTCTTTTTCAGAGATACTTCTGGTAGTGTTTGTCACCCTTTGACGCCGCTTGGATGGTGCGATTTTCAGGTTACAAAGACAGGCTGGTAGTTCTCTGGCCTGCGCACTGGGATGCGCTGGGGCCGAAACTGCAACAACGGGCCTATGCGTACCATGCAACATGCGGCGTGGCTGTTTGGGACGGGCCAAGCCGTTCTCTCGAGATGTGAAACCAAAAGCTCGATGGATGTTGGATATGTTAGGTCATTAGGAGATTGCCCGCCGCGCTGCAGAAGCGTCGATTGAACATCAACCGGTCCATGCCATGCGCTTGCAATATTTCCCATGTCATGCGCAGAACTGACAAATCGTTGGTGATGTCTCAGACGCCCTGCTGATCAGTGGTGAACTTGGCAATGGAGCACTGTGCAGGTGCGGTTTTCTCTGGAAGATGCTTACGAGCTGATCCCAGAAGGCCGCGCAGTGCTCACTAGGATTTCACTTGTCATGTCAAGAGCTGCTGCATGTAGTTTACACCTTCTCGCAGACCGTTGCATGCAGTTCGTGGTCCTTTAAAGGCTATGAGTTTTGATTGAAGGTGCCGCAGATCCTCTAATCCTGGAGGCAAGGCACTGTGCTTCAACAGCGCATCCCGAGTACTGCATTGCTGCGCGAGCTCAAGCATCTGCCAGCATCTGCCATTCACAACTCAGCATGCAGCGCGCGCATGTTGGCTTGTCTGTCTCGTAGTTGGAACAACGGCGGTTGGTTGGAAAAGCATCTTATGGTCTGCTTCAGACGTTCCGGAAAGCCCCTTGCATGACGACTGCGTGAAGCTGGCATGCTGTCCCGGTAGATGCGCAAAACTCTTTACCTCTATGTCAGCGGAGATCGAGACTCCCGAAAAGGAACCCCTATAGCCTATAGCGAGTGGCTGTATCGAAGCAAAAGTGTGGGCTTCGTAAGCCATTGTAAACAATAATAACAACACGCACTGGTTTCATGGTACGGGCCGTAAGCTCTTGCTTCCAGGGTCTGGCTAAGTTTTGCTTAGAAGAAAGAGTTGGTTGTAATCACCGCGTGCAGCTGACATAAGCACTGTAAGCTGTTGTACGAAATCTGAGAACACGCGGATGATTCATTTACTTCTTTGCAAAACAATGAATCCCTGGCGTAAGTGCTCCACACATGCGGAACACGAATTTAGTGCGGATGTTCAGCTTGTGATACGTATTCTTCGTGCGAGGGGAGCCTGCAAATCTGTAGAGGCTTTTGAACATATCCAGTCCAGGAACAGCAGACGCATGGTTTTTGGGTGTTTTTCTTGCTGTGTGGTTTGGCTGGCGCGGGGTCGGCATTGATGTTCACTGCTGCGCATCCGAAGCTCAGAAAATCTGAGTGTGAATATTGTTCCGCCATGTTTCTCAAGGTTGGGCGGCTTGAAGTTTTCCGGAAAGGTGCCACTCAAAGAATTTGTTTCAGGGGCATTCGTGCGGGAGTCACAAGCAGGAGAACAGCTTGGCATGTTTTCGAAAGCTCTGAAAGTCTGAAAGACAAGTGGAACCGTGAGGGATTTCATTCGCCAAGAGAGCCGAGCATGCCGAGCAGGCTGCAAAGGCGCCGTACAGGCTGCCAGAAGAAGCCGTGGGTGCAGCTGACGCTGAGGCTGAAGCAGCATCTCAGGACCATCGGGTCAACTTGGACCTCAGAGCACCATCGTGCCCAGTGCAGGACGTCCCCAAGGAAGCCGCTGGCATCACTGCAGCGGAGGCCAGCGCGCAACCTCTCGAAAACCCTGCTCGTCTTGGCTCGCCCTGCAGTTGAACCGTTTCAGGCGCTGCCAGTGCATGCGACGCGTGATGCTTACCCGGTGAGCCCTGGACGGCCTGAGCTGTCGGCCAAGTTGGACACTCAGAAGTCACGGTCGCTAGCCGCTAGATGGACCTGACCATAAGATGCATCATTCTTACTTTTGCCTCTTGTTGGTTTACGCAGCCACTTGACTCAGGAAGAAGGTTCACCCGCTTCTTCAAAGGTTTGCGGAGGAGGAGCCCATTCTAGCAGAGGCCGAAAGCCGCCTCCCCAGCAGAGCCAAGCAGAGCCAGCACCCTGCCATGATCCAGCAATGGTCCATCGATGCAAGTGTCAATTTGGAGCTTGGCCTGGCACATGACACAGCGGCTTCAGGTCCATCATGGATGTGGCAACCACATTTAGAATACCTCAAGGAGTGCCAGTTTCTGGTTTCTGCTGCCTGGCAGACACAGAAGACGTCGCTTATTGAAAAGCCAACGGTTGCGCCCCATGTTTGGTCAGGAGGAGCGCTACGACCCCATCATGCCAATACAGCTCCGCAAGATGCCAGCCAAGCCAAAGCGCATTCGCATCCTGACGCACGAGGCAATGACATGCCACGTGCACATAGCATGGTCGCATCGCATGCCTTGAAGCCTCGAGCTGTGCGGTGCCAGGTCGCCTTGGAGCGAGGGGACATGTGGCAGGAGGGAGCTCAACGGCGTGGGTCGAAACTATGGAACAGACAAAAGCCTCCAGGCCAGAAACGAATTGTGTGTCAGCCAGGTCTGCATTTGGGATAAGCATGGTCATTCAGGAGTCAAGATGCAGCCCTGTAAGACAGCCTCAGCTGTGCATGATTGTGCATGCTGTGTAGGTCGCAGACAGCAGGCATACCTTTCGCAGAAGCCATGGCCTGATGTGGAACTGTGCTCCGATCGTCATGCCCAGACAGAGCAGTTGTCTCCTGCTTGTGCAAGGCTGCATTTGGAGCAGGCTCGCGCACGAGCCGAGGAGATCAGGCGCACTGCCTGGATCCCTGCGCTTGGCATGTTGGCAGTGCGGCAAAGTTGCCTCAAGGTGGAGGAAGCTGAAGCTGGCAGCTTCCGAGAAACGCGCCCGCCAAGGGTGAGCGGAAATGCTGAACGGGCCTGTTCCAAAGCAGAACTCCAGTCTCGCCGAACTCAAGAACGCTCCGCCTGCCACCGGAGAAAGGTTCTGGTCAATTGGTGTGGCAACTGGCGCTTTTGTTAACAGTAGCCGCAAAAAGCACTCCCTTTCTCTAGCTTTTAAGCCACAGAGGCGGTGGCATGGCCTGCCGCCTAGAAAAGCAGGCAGCGGTTCGATAATGAGATGCTTTCTTTACGCTGGTCTCCCGCCGCAGTGTGCCCTCGCGGCCGGTATGATCTGCTTTAGCATGCTTTAGCTCTCAAGGCTGCGCATGGCTACGCGCAGGCTCGGCCAGAATAATTGCTCGTGCAGGATTCCGGCTGCTGCCAAATGAGGACCTAGCTGAGGTCACCAAGCGGTGTTGCTCAAGCACGGTCGTACCTCTCAACGCTGGGAGCTTGTGCATATCTTGAATATTCCTGAATGTTACGTGAGCCCCCGCTTTGCAGTGATGCAGCTGGACAACCCCAGCTTTCTCTTGGTCAGAATATGTCAGAAGTTCCACGGGCTGTGGGATGATCGTCGCTACGGCTCTTCATGCTTGTCGAGTCGAAGACGCCTAGCAGGAACGCGCCTAACATGCCTGCAGCCCATGGGCCCATTACCAGATAGCAGCCAGATGCAGCCAGTCAAGAATCAAGAACTTACAAGATTTACAAGCAAGCGAGCATGGGTGATACTCCTACAAGATGCTACAACTCTAGACGGCCTGAAGCTTCTTCTATTTCAACAGCAACCATACGGACAGCAGCCTCGCCAAAGGAATCGGGCACTTTTTTGTATCCGCGCTGTTGTCCTGAGCTTTCCTACATGACTTCATGCTGACTCCAATTCGACATAGAATTCTATGAAAAGAGGATCGGACACTTCTCCGACATTTCGAGATACTCGAAACCTTGCAGGAGGACATAGGCTGAATTATTTTAGGACTAGCGGCGGGGGCCGGCCCTGCCGCCAAAACCTAAGTGGCAAGGTTAGCCCCACATAAGCAAGACCTAAATGGTAGGGTTAACCGCCCCATAAATAAGCAAAACCCAAATGGCAGTGTAAGCCCCCCAAAAGCAAAACCCAAATGGCAAGGCTAACCCCCTTATAAGCAAAACCCAAAAGCCAAACTTGGCTCCGCGCATAAGCAAAACCTAAATGGCAAGGTTAACCCCTCATACGCAAAACCCAAAAGCCAAACTTAACCCCCCCTAAAACAATGGCAAAAGGAGGAACGGGACCCCAATGATGCTGATGATGTTGGCCAAGGGGGCCAGCCTCATCAGCAGTCCGTTTCTCCAGTTTTGGCCTCCCATGCGCTCAGTGACCCTTGATTAGTCTAGATCTTTAGATTTTTCTCAGCCATACCCCAAGAGGGGCCTTGGGGCTAGTTTTCAAAGCGTGTACAAATTTGAATGGGGGGAGGGGATGGAGGAAGCGATTTCGGGGTGGGGACAGGGTGTGGGTACGGAGGCAGGAGGACAGGTGAAGGATGGATAAGGATTGAACAGTCAAAAAAGTGGAAGTTATTGGAGAAAAACGGAAGTAGTTGGGAGAAACACCAGGGAGGGGGCCAAAAAGAACAAGTATTGGCTGATGCACGAACAAAATCGGGACCGAGAGGAGAAACCATTGGACACAAAGCCGATGCCGGCAGTCAAAAAGGCGGAAGTAGGTGGGAAAAAACGGAAAGAGTTGGGAGCAACACTGGAGAAGGGGCAAGGGGACTTGGACACAGAAGAAATATTGTGTGATGGACGAACCAAATCAGGACGGAGGGGAGAAATCATTGGAGCGCAAAGCTGAAGCTGGCAGAAAGCTGTAGGGCTTCACAGGGCGCCGCAGGGAGGGGTCGGGGTATCACACAAGCATAGAAGGCTTCGTAAAACCTGCACAAGCTCATCTCCCTATGTAACCTTCTTTTCATGTTTGCGGCTCCAAGGGCTGCAGTGGAACCCGAAAAGGCGAAGCTAATAGTGCTGAAGATTTTCTGTTTGGGGTTGGGCGCACCCAGGAAGGAGGCATCACCAGCACATCTGGGCTCCACTTTGGTCTTCAGACGCGCTCTTTCCCGCCTGTACCCTTCGTACAGTAAGGCCTTTAATTCAGCTTAGGGCGCTTTAAACCCAATGAAGGCGGTTTAAGATCACTCTCGGATTGGCCTATACACCATAAAGCATTGAAGCCAGCAGAACGGCCGTTATAAAGCCCGCACAAAATTCACCTCAACCCTAGAAAGCCGTCATAGAATCATCATAAGCCGTCAAAGCCTCTCGACCATAAAGCCCTACACTTTTCGTGAATAACCATGGGTGGAAACACCATCTAAAGCCATGATTAAACTTGCAGAAACCAGCATAGTGTCCGTGAAGCTATCCTCGAGCCATCCTTAGATTCAAACAGATAGGCCAAGTGCACAAAAAAGATATGCAGGTGATGCTTTTCTGTGGAGCTGGAAATTGCAAGTTGGAAAATGCCAAAAGAGAAGCCGTCAGGCTGGTGGATAGGGACAGAAAGGGGCTGTGCATGGGCCACTTTTGTTCCGCTTTCTCGTTTTGCATTGTTTTGCGTGTTTTCATCTTTTCCGCTGAATGCTGGTGGCTCTAGGCACAGTTCCAGCGTTTGCACGCGTGCTTGGCTCACAGCTTCATATGCATGGGCTTGCCCGGAAGCCGTGTTGAGGACATCTTTTGCAAACATGTGCCTCAATGTATGCTGTTCTGAGCCCTGCTGTTGAATCAGGCAAAGTGAGGCCTCTGCTTCATACCGTCTTGACGTTGGGAGCTTTGTCTCATGTGTGCATTGAGCGTTCGGTCTCCTTTGCCGTGCAATGTATGAGTATTTCAGACGAGGTGTTGCCCGTGACGTTTTACTCGTCGTCCGATTGCATGTGCCTGAGTCTGTCAGACTTTCTCTTGGGGGGCAGGGCGGGGTGGTGTGGCTCTCTCAAGCTGACTTGCATGTCCGCATGCTCAGGTTGATTCCCAATAGCGAACCAAACCTTGGCGGTATGGTGCGCTTTTCAGGCATGCTGTGCATAGCATTTTGTGCCTTAGCCTGACCTGTCAGGCTCACTTCCGCCAGGTGGTGGCCTCCCTCACATACGTGCTTGAATCAGCTCCGTTGGCTGGAGTCCCGGTCGCCGTAACTGCTTCTGCGCTGCCAAGGTTGGTAATTAGATGAAACGAATTGCCCACACGGATACTGCGCAATGAGGCGTAAGAGCCATGAAGTGCAAGCCCCTGCAACCACCCGACGAGCTGCAAGACCTGGTTGGGAGGGTTCGAGCAGCCAGAACACATGAAAGCATCAGGTGATTGGTGTTGCAACCTGCTTCTCCAAATTGCATCTGAAGTTAAATAACCATAGGAAATCTCAGCCATGCCATGAGACACTGGCCCGCATGGAATAGCTCAGGCATGCATCTTACTGACCTGATGTTGCGTTGAGCGGGTGCTGTTTACAATTCTGAACTCGGACCGCCACTGCGGGGCTCCCAGCCTTTGGTCGATGATCCGCAGATGCTCGCTGAAGGCCCAGGAGTTTTGCCTCCTTTGCTTCTTCTGCCTCGGCTTTGCGCTATGCCGAACAACAGCGAGGGCCACAGACAGGGTAGAACACGCAATAAGGGCTTATGTAGTTTCTTGATAAGATCCCTCGAGGCCATGAAGCAAGTGCTGGGCACCTGCCGCCCTCGCACGCTGGGGCCTTCCAGCTTCTGAGCATCTCGGCAGTCTGTTCATGATCGCATGTTTGTGCTCAGTTGCGTTACCTTCGAGCAGCTGCAACACATGCTGGCCCAGCGGAAGCATGAGGAGGCGTGTGGGTGTAAGGACCAGGCGGCACAGATCTGCGACCGGGGCACCAGATAGCATAAAGCAACGCATGGCCCGCCAAGCCGTTTTCAGATCCAAATCGGGCGCCTGACGCGTTTCCTATTACGTCAATGAGCTTTGCTTTTCAGCCTAGAGCCCTTGAAACATCCTCACGCGAATGAACTCTCTTGGCCACACTGTTGCTCCAAATCGTGAGAATCAGAAGTACCATTAGCAAAACCTACAAGCCGTCACCTTCAAGCAGCGGTGCTGAAGACAAAGGAGAGCTCCTGGCTAAGTGTGAGATCCTTTGCCCTACATCGGGCAACTGGGCTCCCTCCAAAGAGTCCAATTGGTCCTAGCCTTTCTGGGATCCCTTGCAAAGCATGATCCGTTCGGATAAGAGGTTCTGCCGCCACCCCCTATACCAGTAGGTGGATGAAATACAACGGCCTACAAGTATCGGCCTTGGAAATTGATTCGGGTGACTGAGCAACTGTCAGCATCTTGCAGGTCCTGGATTCCTGGCCTTTGCTGGATGAATTCACCGCCGAGGCAAACTGGGCTGAACATATGCAACTTTTGCTTTGGTGTAGAGGCCGTCGATGAGTTTTCCAGGGAGCACTATTTTACATATTTGTTTTGTTTTGCTTTTTGGCTTTGGCTTTCCGGCTTCTTGGTTTCTCGCCTTCCTGGCTTTTGGCTGCTTGCTTTTTTTGGTTTCTCTGGCTTCTGATTTTTGTCGGCTTCCTGGCTTTTGGCCTTCTGGTCTTCAACGGCTTCCTTCTGGCATTGTCCTCAAGACCTCCAGTTTGCCATATCCAGTCTGAGGTGTTCGGCCCATACCATTTATTATTGTTACTGCGTACTGCATTTCTTCTATATCCTTCTCGTTATAGTCATAGTAGCTTGTTATCCGCTATTCCCATTATTGTCAGAATTATAAGCATCAGTATTACGATGATTATGATGTTTATTGCCATTACTTTTCCTACTGGTATCACTATTACCATTGCTGTGACGCTATGACTTTTGGTGACTTTTGCTATTTGTACTATTCTTACTTGGACTGCGACTGTCACTACTAGTACGATTATACCCGCTATTTTTGCTACTATTAGCATTTTTTTACGAGTATGACTATTACGATTACAATTGCTAT